AACCCTATTCTACCTATCAAGGCCCCTATATTAAACTGAAACAACCTGGTTCGGGGCCGTCTAGTCAGAATTTGGAGGCTTCCTACTGTGCCGTAGATGTCAAAGTTGGAGGTTTGGACTTGCGGGCTTGTGGCGCAGGTTTGTGTCATAGTAGCGATGTTGTAGTGTGGAATGCTCGAAACAGAACAACCACCCTATCAATACTCTAACGACTGTTTCAAAGAGTATGTTGTCTCGGTTAGGTTCATGTTGAGTAACCCTTGCAACCTAAACCCGAACCCTGCAAATAAAACCCAGGCACTGAGCCGGCAAACTTCCTCAATCCTCCGACCGAAGCCCCGCATGCTACTCCACGGGCTGAAGCCAACCCCAAGCCCGTCGTCATTTAATATGGGCATTTCTCTAAACTAGGGCCCCTTTTTTGGATCCCCAAAAGTACGGCACGTGTATAAAAAAAAAGGACCCTAAGAGGGACCCTAATTTAGAGAACTGCCCATGTAGAAGCTGGAAGAGTTACCAATACCATTCCTTAAGGCTTCTTAGTATCAAAGCATCATTCTGTTATAGCATAATCCCCTCAATAGGCTTATTGTAGTCATGATGGCTCTATATTGAGGCCTCAACCCGAAGTCGTAAGCTCTTAAATCAAGCACGCTAAGCCCTCGAAGTACCATAGAAGCCTAAATAACTACCAATATTTATTCCTCAGGTTCCTTATTATGATTACAGTATAATGGACCCCAAAACCCTATTCTAATTGTTAAGGCCCCTATATTGGATTCATGGGTTCAGGGTTTTGGGGTTTTGGGGGTTTCCGCCCGGAAGACAAAGGCCGCGCGGTTTTCCCTTTGGGCTCAAGGGGGCCTCCCTATAAATCCTTAGGGTGGCCTTGGACCTATCGAACTGACTCCATGTCATGGCCGAGGAGAGGGATTGAGGGTTAGGGTTGAATAGGGGTGTACTGTAGGGCACGAGTACCTCCTGTTTCTTGAAGCGGGGTTGATTTGGGTGTTTAGGAGCTTTAAGGGGTGGAGAAATGTAGGTTTTACCCAAAACCTGCAACACCTATGTCTGCGATTTCTTACTACGATTTCGTTGTGTGGTCTCTTGACAATGTAACAAGACAGGCTTCTTTTGGGTGAAGAGAATGATTTAGGATTCTGCTGAAGCTTTCGGGTTTGCCCAGTCCTGCAGTTGAGGTGAGGGTGTTCAGTCTACAGTCAAGGTTCAAGGAGAGTTTAGGGTCCAGGTGTTTAGGGTTTAGGGTTTTAGGGTTTAGGGTTTAAGGTCTGTACGGCTTTAGGGTTTAGGGTTTAGGGTTTAGTCAGGCTCAAATGAAATCAATCATGTTGTCAGGTGACAGGATCCGGCAGCCCAAGCTACAAAGCCCTTCAACCCCACAACCCTAAGCCTTACAAGCCCCAAACCACTATAAACCCTGCAAAACTTGAAGGTCAGAAGTGGTCTAGCGTATCGGGTGTACTGTGGAGTATTTTCTTGCGCGCTTTGGACAAGGTTTCAGGGCGACCCATACGTTTTAAGATCCCTGGGTTGTGCTGAGGCTTTTTGGTTCGGCGCCCAGGTGTAGCACGAGTTGCCGGGTTGAAAGGTCGGAGAGGGTTCAGGGTTTAGGGTTCAGTGTTCAGGGTTTAGAGCAGGACAGTCGCAGGCTGGGCGCCCGCGCTGATAGGCCAGATTGCCTACCATCGCAGTTCGCCAGTAACGTCAAAGAAATGGGTCTCTAAATCAGGATCCCTTTAGAAGGGGTCCTTTTTAGCACGGTGCCGTAGTCTCTGGGGGACCTGAAAAGAAGGGGACCCTAGTTAAGACTTACAGAACTGCCCAACCCTTGCAAGCCTGCCGGAGTGCGGGCCCTCATTCTTCGATGTTTCCTTAGTTATACAGTCAAAAGCTGAGTTTTTGTTCCATGTTCTTACATCCTTACGGATTTCTGTCTGTATATAGGCACAGGTTCATGTAGACAGATCGGGAGGAAAGGCAGCGAGGAAGACGAGTGCAGGAGCCTATATATATATATATATATAGAGAGAGAGAGATATAGAGAGACATACATGTATACATATATATACACATAGTTCTATATTCATATGAATATGTATATATATATATATATATGTATAGATATATACACACAGGCACACCCACACATCAAGCGCGATTGCACATTGGGAAAGGAGAGAATGGGCTACGGCTCGAGAGCCGCTAAGACAAAGAGTGCATGCGCTTTCCTTGCAGTAGGCCCGTCCACTTCAAAAGAAGCTCGTTCATGATGACATCGATGTGCGGAGTTGACCAGAACACTTCGACGGGCGACCTCAGCCAAGCTGAGCGAGTAAAGATGGCAGTTGGAAAGAGTGTCCCACAGGTTGGAACATGTCCTCGCCCCAGCGTTGTGGGAGCACCTCAGCTCACAGCCCCCCCAGCCCCTGTCTTCACACTGCCCAAGGCGTTGCGCGTTGTCTTAATGTACCGTCTTGCTGTCATGCATCTCTCTCCTGTACTGTAGAAGCCTAAATGATTACCCACATTTTTCCTCAGGTTCCTCACTAGAATTGTAGCATAACATATGCCCTAAACCCTGTTCGAACTTTTACATCCAGTTCTCTGGGCCCCTATGTCTCTCCGGAAGGCCTCCTCGCAGTGACCGCGTGCTGTACCCAGGCAACTGAGGCCGTGGCATCTGCCTGAAGCCGACAGTGGAAGCGCGCTTAAGGGTTCCGGGGGGCCCAAAAAGTAGATCCCTTTAAGGGCTCCTAAAGGGGGCTTTCACGAGGATGCCTGCTTGTAGTTGGCTTAGGGATCGGAACAGATTAGTTAGTTGCACAAGTCCTGATGCAAAAAGATTTATCTTTCGCTGAAGGGTTGCTGCGGGTTTTCAATCTTGGCTTGGCTTTGAGTGTGAAGCTGAAGTCACCCGTGAATTGTTTCACGCATGTCCTAAATTCATCTAAGGCACTCACCCAAAACCCTGCTAAAACCGCAAACTCCAAGCCAAAGTATGACGAGAGGACTACCGGCCCGGTCTTCAGCTAACTCTGAAGCCTTACGTATCCTTAGGTCACTGAGTCGAAGTCCAACCCTCGTGATCAATCAATCCTACAAAACGCCATTCTAACCATCAAGGCGAGGGCGAGTGGGGATTTTGGGTTGTTCCCAAGCAGCTTTCCCACATATAGACCTGTACTGTTCTCAAGGTGTTTTGCCTGCATCTGACATCGAAGTTTCAATCCCCTTAGAAGCTTTTTGAATCACAGCAGCTAGTTGTCTGGTATTAATAAAGCTCCACAGCCCACATCCCAAAACCACCAGCCTGAAAGCCCCCGAAGAAGACTGACAGGCCTCCCACCAGGAGGCCTGCGACGAGGTCGTGACGCTGCTTCAGCGTGCCGCGCCAGAGCTTTCGGCTTCCGCTTCGGTTTTGTTTGGGTTCTACAGGGTCTTATAGCAGTGCAGACTTCGAGTTTAGGGTTTAGGGTTTAGGGTTTAGGGGTTTAGGGTTTAAGGTTTAGGGACTTCGAGCTTTAGGGGTTTAGGATGCAGACTTTAGGAGGTCAGAGTTGCCAAAAGGCTGGAGGCACACGCAGGGGTTTAGGGTTTAGGGTATCATGTGCATTCTTCTCCTCGCAAGTAGCTGCAAGATCCTCTTGCCACCACGACAGTTGCGAGAGTCCAAAATCGATTGCTACTCCTAGTGGTATCGATTATTGCTGCTGTCATTGGCATGGCAGTTGGTATTCCAATCATTGTTTTTTACATTGACATTGGGGATAACCCTAATAGCCCCGGCAGAAAGAACCCTTCATGCCAGCCTAAAAACCTCAACCCTACACCCCTAAACCCTACTCCTAACAACCCTGCAATCCGGGCGCGTCCCTAGCTAGCTGGGAGCCAAAAAAAATCCTAAACCAAAAATCAGAAAGGAAGCGACCACCCATAGGCCCCATAGTAGTTCCTTTTTGGAGTTACCTTCTAGCATTCTTCTTATGAGCCCCAAAAGGGAACTACTATGGGGCCTATGGGTATAACCCTAAACCCAAAACCCTAAACCCCTAAAGCCCAAACCCTAAACCCCAAACCCTAAACCCTAAGTACTAACTATGGGGCCTATGGGCAGACCGAGGCTTCCGGCGCGGCCCCACTGCAGAGACTCTGAGCTTGCAGGATGCGGCGGCGCGGGCCGGCTCCTGGCCACGCAAGTAGGGCTTTGGGGCTCAGTTGCGATATATTTATAAATTAATATATTCTATCTTATATCTATTGTCTTTTTTATATTTATTGTTTATTGTTTTTGTCTTTTTGGTCTTTTTAGTCGGGAACCGAAGCTATCCGAAACTCGTCAGTCGAAGCTTGCAATTCGGTGCAGCTTCTAACGAGCTCGATCCTCAGAATTTCTGAAGCTCCAACCCCAAAAGCCTGGGAGGTGGTCCGGCCCTGAAGCCCTGGAGCCTGAAACACGATCCAAAACAGCTCTCAACCCCAAATCTGGAACCTTGAATCACGAGAATCATAACACCTGACAAGCCCCTGCAAGAACCGTAAACTCTGTCAACACCCTCGATTCCTTAAACCCTAAACCCTAAACCCTAAAACCCTAAACCCTAAACCCCTAAACCTGGCTTCGCGACTCGCTCAGCCATGTAGGAGGCAAAAAAAGCCCCTAAACCCTAAACCCTAAACTTCTTACCTCGATAGAAGAGCCCGAAACCAAAAGCCTGGAGCCGATCGTCCTCTCGCTGCCCAGCATCCCTGGCGCGTGAGCTTACCCGAGAGGAAATCCAGGGGCTGCCTCTGGGATCGAAGAAGTTAGGGGTTTAGGGTTTGGGGTTTGGGTTTTAGGGTTTTAGGGTTTAGAGTTTAAGGCTTAGGGTTTAGG